GGAAAATAATCACAAAAATTATAATGAAATTACTATTCAAATTGAAAATTCTGAAAAATTATCCAAAAATTTAAGATCAACAAATTCAACAACTCCAACTCCAATGAATTACAAAACCCATCCAGAAGCAATTTATACTAGTAGACTTCTCAATTACACAATCTTCCGAAACTTAAGAATGATGAAAATTTTGAAAATGAACTTGAAGAATTAACAAATTCTACTTCTGCCTTAAGTATTAGTAAGTGATAATTATGTCGATATTCTCGTCGATTTTATTTTTTTATTTAAAAATATTAATTTATTCTTATTTTTATTTAGTTGCATCTGAATTATATGTACCCGATTTTAAATATTTTTTTTGGATGTTTTTTAAATCTATCTTTATAACTAATTTACATAATATTCTAGTTATTGCAAAAATCTTAACATTTGATACAATGAATAATTCACATTAAATTTAAATTATTTACAATACAGATACTTTTTCAATTGAGGAATTTGGATTTTTTCAAAGAAATAATTATTAAATAATATTTACTTTAATTTGTATAATCATTATTATTTATTTTATTTTTATTATAATTATTATTTTAAAAATAAATTTTTTAAAATATTCAATTTTTTTTTTCTTTTATTTAAAATATTTCTGTTCTGAATTAAAAGATATTCGCCATATACAAAGAAACATTATTAAAACGACTTGGCGTAATTGAATTTATTCATATTATATTGATTGATCAGAGTAATATTCAAGGGCATATGTTAAAAAATTTGCATTTAATCTTTTGCACTTTAGACAATTGTCCAAATTTTTATCAACGCCAGATGGATAAATTTGACGACTTGATTATGGTTTGCAAATCAATCAATCTAAGGGTCAAAAAAACGCTAAATTATTTCCTTAGACAAAATTTTTCGGGAAAAAAAGAAAATGTCAATTATATGATCTCAAAAAAAATCTTTTCTGGGTATAATTACGATTTAAAACTGAACTTTTTTATTTACAATAAATTTGGACTAAAATATAAAAAAGTTATAGTAGTAACTGGTAATTTCAATTTTCTTTAATTTAGATTTTTTAAACTTTTTTATTATTATTCGTATTCTTAGTGTTTGGCGATTATATAATACTTATTTTTTTATAAACGTAATACTTTGAAAAAATCTCTTAAACTCTTTAGAGACAAGAAATCATATACAACTTTAATCTTTTTGTCACATCAATAATGTCGAATCACTTACTGTATTGTCAAATGTCAAATAATACTTGGTCTCTAAAATAATTCTAAAATACTTTTAACTATCATGTATATCCAAAATTATTATTAATTCCATAATACCTATTACTATAATATATTTATTCTTTTTATAGTTATTTGATCAATAAATATATCTAAACGGTGGTGTTTTCGGTATTTTTGATGGTGGCATTACTGTTGTTTCAAAACTAGGTTTAGTGTTCTTTGACGTTATGAATTATAATAATAATTATTATTATCTGTTTCTCTACCTGTAATATAAATGTGACATTATAAAAATAAATATATCATTACAAATTAACAAATAAATAAAATTATTCAAATAAATTTTTTAGATAATCAGAATTATTATAGTAGTGGGGAATTCTTAAAAATAAATTATTTCAGATTATTATTTATTTTTAATTAAATTTTAGGGTGAAATTGAAATAATTGAAATAAAATTAAATATTTGACATGTCCCAACTTAAATTCAATATGTTTAATATCACCTAAACTATTATTATAAATCGTATTATTGTTTGTTGAATTATTATGTTACAATAATGAAGAATAATTATAATAAACAAAGCAAATACAAAAATAAATTAATAAATAATTATTACCTAAATCTACATCTTTTAATAATCGAATTTTTTAATAGGAGATTTCAATGATTTCAATGAATTTTAAGTGATGAAAACTTGATATGTTCCATTTAATTATTAGATATTCTTCAAAATTTTGAAATTGATTTTCAGTTTCAGATATTTTTAATCTTATTTTCATCTCATCTTCAGGTTGTTGCTGATTATTATTCTCTTTATGATTATTGATGTCATGTCAGTGAATAAATTAATTAATTAATTAAAATTAAATGATTAAAAATAAATAAGATATTATTATATATAGCTCTATATCAAAAGAAGCAAAAAGTTTAATAAATTAATTTTACTAATCTCCCAGTTAAAAACAATTAATTTTAAGAAATACAATCAATTCCATGGCTTTAACTGAGAATATGTTCCAATCGTGCCATGTCTCTTTATATGATAATAATTAGTCCTTTGGATTGAAACCTAATAATAAAAGGTTTGCCCAATATACTGAATTTGGTGATTTGGTTACTGTCATTGTTTTTTTCAATGTAATTGTTGGTGAATTTGTGGTTAAGATAAGTGATTTGACTGTATTGATAAATATTTCAATCAATTAAAGAATTAAAAATTGCGGAACTTTTTGTATATAATTATAAAAAATTATTAAACATAATTATATAAATATATATAAATATTAACCATCAAAAATATTGTATTGAAAAAAGAATTCATCACTGCCATGAATTCACAACTATCACTATGAGACTAGTTAAAAACAAGAAACTTTTCCGGTAATTTTTTTTTATATTTATTTTTAAAAAAACTTATGTTTAGAAATTTAATATTTAATTTTTTTGGGTTTAAATTTTTGTGTTAACAATTATTTTTATAGATGATACTTTATTTTCGTTTGTTACAAAATATTATCGTAAATAATGAAATAAATGTATATATTTTTTTATCTAATCTCTAATTCTATCTTTCAATGTATTTGTCAGAATCGATTTAGTTACTGAGATGATGATGTTTCTTTCTTTTCCCAAGCACATGCTGAATGATGTTGACGAATCGAAATTGATTTGGCTTTAACTAATAATAATTCATTAAACAGAGTCAACAACCCTGTTACATACACAGAGGATTTCCAGTTCCTTTTTTGGTTGCTAATTTTTTTATGTAAAAGAAAAGAGGAGGATTCCTTGTAATTTAAGTTACATTGATCAACGTAACGAGGTTTCAGGAAAAATACTTTTGTCGCAATACCGTGGGAATTTTTTTTCTTAATCTTAGAGTGAAAACATTCTTCTTCATCTAACCACTTTTTATTCCAAAGATATTTCAAAGGATGGGCATATGGATCAAATGACTTTACGTTACAAAGGTAAATGCTGATGATACAAAGGTGAAAATAATAATGGTAATAAATGCGCTTTCAATAATATCTAGTATACTGTATTTAATTTGAGTTGTGATAATTTAATTTCTATATTTATTTAAACATATATAAACATTAATATTTTTTAAAAAATTTACAGGTACTTGCTCAATCAGAAATAATTTCATTAAATCTTGAAGAAGAGCATTCATTAAAATCACCTTTGTCTGTTGTGATGACAGGATTTATACATAATTGATACAATACAGATGACATCAAAATTACCTTGGACTTAACAGTTAAAAAATATATTATAAAAAAGCATCTGGATTGATATTATTTAAATTATATCATTTTGCAACTGAAAATCATCTTCTCCCAATTACTACAAAAATTACCTGGCCTAGCTGATTTAGGCGATTAGGTTACTGTTATCGCTTTTGTAAGAGTTATTGTTGGTGAATTTGTGGCATGGGTTTGAAATTATTTAAATTATAAATTTTTCGTCATATTAAAGTTCACTTCTCAAGATATCCAATTGGCTTTTTGATCTAATTTATCGATATTCCAATTAATTAAATACAATTAATAATTTTTGCAGATAAACTAATGAAATCACAATTTAAATTAGGAATTCTCAAAAAATTATTAAAAATCTAACATTAATAAATTCAACACAACCCCAATGAATTATAAAACACATCCAGAAGCAATTTATACTAGTAGACTTCTCAATTATTCAAACCTTCCTAAACCCAGGAATGATGAAAATTTTGAAAAAGAACTTGAAAAATCAACAAATTCTACTTCTGCATTAAGTATTGGTAAGTATCAATTATATTCCCGTTTATTTAAATTTTTTTTTTAAATGTGTTTTATTTTATCTAGCTAGCTTTACAAAAATTTTATATGGCAATCTGAAAACTTAGGAAATTGCAAGTATTGCACATGAAAAATCAATTACTGTATTTATACTTTTTCAATTGATTTTGCAAATATTTATTATAATATTCGTCATCATTTATATAAATTTAATTTTATTCTATCAAATTTATTATTGCTTTTAAAAAATAAAAGAAGCGATTGTTTTAAATATTCTTTTTTTTTTAAAAAAAAAAAAATATTCAATGAATTTATTTTTGCTTTATTTAAAATCACAAGCAATTAGATAAAAATTATATTTGAAAAAATTTACAATACACACAATTAAGAGAAAATTAATTATAGTCTAAAAATATCTGCCCACTCTTAAATTATATATACTTATTTAGTAAAAAAATTTTTTTATACTCCGATTGATAGGCGGATTAGTAATTAAAATGGTGTCCCTTATTATAGTTCTTATTACGTATAGTGCTAAAATAAATAATAGATATTGGCTAAAAAGATTACCCTATATGGTATCGACTTTGCTGATTCTCAAAAAATCGGCTGACTAAGCTGACTATACGGCTAAGTCGGCTATAAACTTTCAGCTTCAAACACTACTTTTTCGCTTAAAATGGATGCTAAAAAGCAATAATAAATGGTAAAAGGCAAGCTGCGTCATACGAATTTGAAAGAGTTTCCGCGCTGAATGATATTATCAATCCTATTTAAATGTACTTAATTCTACGTAATAAATTATCCAATGTGATTTTTTGCGCACCTAAATTTCAAAGCAATTTTCATCCAAGTGTGAATTCAGATAACATCTCATTTATTATACCGATTTTTTTTTTAAAGAAACAAATTTTTACCTTACGCGCGCATTATAAGTGAACAAAAAAAAATGACATGCCCAGAATGCAATCAAGAAAATAACCACATCCGGAATTGGTGCCAACCATGTAACTCGAAACATTTCCGAAATGATTTTGACAAATGGACAAGTGGAAATAACATAATAGATAAGCTTATTCAAGATACTCAAATAAATGCAGCCGATATGTATAAAGTAACAGAATGGATACCTTATGATAGATTAGAAGGTATTAAAAGAATAGCAAAGTGTGGTTGCAGAACAATATATAAGGCTAAGTGGATTGATGGATTAATTAATAGATGGGATGTTAAAAATCAACAGTGGAAAAGACTGGGACAAATAAGTGTAGCATTAAAAAAGTTTGATAATAATTTTGCACGCTTAAATGAAGACTTCTTAAATGAGGTAAAATATTTATTAATAAAAAAAATATACAAATTCGTTTTTAAAATTTATATTAACATAAATTATTAATTAAAAAATGCATATTATTTAGATAGCAATTCATTTAAAAATGAGTAATAATGATGTTGCAATTCAGATTTATGGAGTTACACAAGATCCAGAAACAAACGAATATATAATGGTTTTACAATATATGGATGATGGGAATCTTAGAAATCATTTGAAAAAAAATTTAATAATATTAATTCATTAAGAATTCACTCATATATGTCCTCATATCAAACTCATGTATTTACTGATCAATCATTAAATCAAGATCTCAAAAATATAAACACAATTATAATTGAAGAAATATCTATGGTCTCATCTAATCCTGAACCATTTGGTGGAATTAATGTAATAGTAATTGGAGACTTTGCACAGCTTCCACCAGTTTAAAATCAACCAGCATATAAACCATCTATATGGAAAATATTTTATCCAATCTTCCTACCTGAACCACAGAGACAAAATTCAAATTCAGATTATTATTGCTTACTTGAAAACATTAGATTTGAAGAAATTGATAGATTTACTTGGAACATATTATAAACCAAATTAAATCAAACCATTCATCATTCATCTGAAAATTTGGAACAACTTTTAAATATAACATACATAGTAGGGTATAAAGAATTTGCTGAACAAATCAATCAAACAATATGTAATATGTTACAAATTCAAGATAACAAGCTTATGATATCCAATTCAATTGATATTATCAGTCAAGAAATTCAAAATAATGAATATTCTAATAAATTATTTAAATATAAAACATATTTACCAAAAAAATTACAGTTACAAATTGGTGCAAAAATAATGTTTCTAAACAATTCTGAATTTCAATTTGGAATATGTAATGGAACTATTGGAGTTATCACAGATTTGAACATGGAAGCACAAACAGTTAGATGTGCTTTTTGTATTGAACGTAAAATTGTTGATATTGTCACGTTCTGTGCAGAACAAAGTGAAAGTTACGCCAATCAGTCTCAAATTTATCACGTATATATCACTAACACGATTTTATTGTGTACAGTATCACTAACACTCACGACTAATACAATTACGTGTAATATCTGAAGGTACGATGAGTAAGTGGAGTAAAAGTATCTTTATTACCGCTTACACACTACCAACTGAAACAGACTTTTATGTAACTTTTGCCAAGAAATATAAAAGAGTTTATTAAAATTTATTAAAACTTATCAAAAGAATAGGTCAATAGAAATATTATCATGGGTGGGATGTCTATCCCTATTGCTATTCCGATACACGAAATTATTAAAATTATTACAAAAATGTATAACAATAGAGATATATTACTGCTTTTGCGTATCTTATCTCTATTGCTGCACGAAATTATTTATTAGGAATTATTTATCTACAGGACTAGCTAGTACGGAGAAATTATTCGAAACTATCTGTCTCTAAAGTTATTAGAAGTAAGGAATATTTGAAATTATTTATTGTCACCAATATTAAAAAAAATCCGAAATTATTATTATTAAAGTTGATAAAAGAAATTTATATAAAAAAAAATGAATTTTTCGCCCAAAAGGAATTTTTTTCTACCACTACTCGACTTTGATTCTTTATACATTTTTCTTTTGCTCACCTTTACCTTGGTTGCTACCCATATTTTGCTAATTGAAGGTGTTGTGCGAGGGTGAATAAATAATCACCTTGTATTTCACCCAGGTGGTGGCACACAATCTACTTGGTGCAACTACCACCTCTGTTCGCCACCTTCAGTGGTCACGAACGTTTCCGTGTCGCCACAATACGTACATGATTAAAAAAAGAGCATTTATTAAATTTTTTTATCTATTTATTATGTATTTTTCAATAAAACACATGTTTTCCCATTTCTTAGTAATGGATCAATTAATGAATGCTGTTACTACCTGGGAGAGCAAGCTTTACTAATTTTAGTGGTTTTGCTTGGTAATGAACTTGGATTGGTTTAATGATGTGAATGATTATAAATATTAACAAATAAAAATAAACTATAGAAGGAATTCAATTAAACAAGAACAATATCTGAATATCTAAACAATTAAACAACAATAATCAATAACTATAATAAATATAAATCAATCAATAATAAAAAATGCTAAATCGAATCAAAATAAAATAATCAAAATACTAAATCAGATAATCAAAAATACTAAATCAAATATAATAATTATAAAACTAAAAATCAATCATTAATTCAATAACTCAAACATAAAGAATAAAGGTGAGTTTGGTCATACAGGGTTCCTGGATTATTTCAGCAACACTTTAGGACAAAAGTATAAAGTAATTGTTATTTTTATTAAAATAAAAGAAATAGGAAATGTATGACCTTTACAAACTGATCTGGACAAGGTAATTTCTCTTGTCTTTATATACATTTCTTTCCTAAAAGTCTTAAGACCTCACTCGGAGTGTAAAGACCTCACTTGAGGTGCAAAGGCCTCACTTAGGGTGCAAGATTATCATGACTTTACCTGGGTCTTTGAGGTCTTTTTGATAACCTACTAACCTTTTCTTTCATAATTATACTATATTTAATATGAATTTTGCTACTATCTTCAGATATAATTTTAATTAACTAAGTACAAAATAGAAATAACTAAACATATATATCTCAATTCTAAAACTAATACAATAGCTACTAAGTAATAATATATAGAGAAATAAATAAATAATAATAAAAAATGAAATAAAACATAATAAGACACTAGTCAAATACATAAGAATTGCTGTGCCGAATGGTGACTTCTATATAAAAAATCGGAATTCCTAAATCATAGACCAGCTAAAAATTGACTGTACTATTGCTTCATATTTTATAAATCAGCTAAAATTAGAATTCCTTTTAAGTACGCCTATTCTTTTGTATTTGACCTGTAAGAAAGAATTGTAAAAATTAATAATTAGAACCAAATAAAAAAAAACTTCTAACAATGCTCTCCTGTATGGATAGAATATCATGAATGTTGGTGAGAAAATTTCTGTAAAGATTGAGATATGACTAAAAGTATAAATTCTAGAATGAAGAAACTACAAGTTGGTTTATTGAGATTTATTTATATTGATTAAAAAAATTTATTCTCATCATTACATCATTGAAAATTTTGATGATTAGAAACAAATAAAGAAATAAAGAATATTTTTCAAATGTTCTTTAATTAGATGTAGGAATTCTTTAACCTGTACGTAGGGGCAGTGTTTGAAATTCAATGGCAATAGCACAAAATTTGAAAACTCCGCACATAAAAAAAAAGGCATCTGCACAAAATTTGCATATAGAATTCTAAATTGTGTATATTCCGCACCAGATTTAAAATTTGAATTTCAAACGTTGCGTAGGGGTATAGATTCTTATCCTGTCCGTCAACTTTATAAGTCATGTAATTAACATATGGTCAACATTTGATATTTACATTAAAAATTTTTATTTATATAGGGTGCACAGGATAACAGTCTATTTTAAGGGTCTAGATTATCTATGAAAGATCAACACTGTTTGAACAACTAGAATAAGATTTGTAATATTCTTTAGATACAAAATAAACTGTAAAGAAAGTCTTGTATTTTCGAGATATACTTATATTTGATCAGAAATTTGTTTTAAGTAAAATATTTTATTCATTCAATAAATTATAATAGATTTGATTAATATAATTTTTTCTAATAATATTCTTTTATATAAATAGTTTCGTTACAAAAAAATTAAAGAAACAAAATTTTGAGGAAAAGGAAATGGAAAAAGAATTACAAAAAGTTTTTTTTTTTTTATTAAATCTTCAAGATAAACTTACAGCATCGATGAACTAATGAACAAGATATACCAAAGTTTCTATATATAACAAGGATGGATTGGCAAATATGCAGCAGCATTTAAAAAGTAAGCCACAGAGACAGCACTTCAAGGTAATGCTCTAAATAGTTTTTATAAAAATAATTATCATTCCGTAAAATTTAGTCACATGATTAGGCTGAGACAGTTTATTGAATAATCATCTATCATTAAAAATATCGATAATGTTAATGAATGAATGAATAAAGGATTGTGTACAAATGAGTCGAAGGATTGATTCTAGATTTTATTGTTTCCGTTCTTCGTTACTTTTTCTGTACGATTATGGTAACACGCTTCTGCATGAACTTTTGGGTTGCAACCACAATCAAAATTTATGCTGTTTGCATTAAGGATCATTTTTACACCATCTTTAGCAAATAATAACCCAATAAATAATAACCCAATAAATAAGGTAGCTGTTGAATCTTGCCACCATCCTTCCGACCAAACTACATAAAGCGAACTTCCCAAGAAAATTACACTAGTAATTTCTAAACAAGCTAACGAACATTGGGCTTCTGCTGCCAGTGTTGCAGAGTCGAGATTAAATGCAAGATAACATTTTCCTAACCAAAGGAATATTATAAAAGATAATGATACACTAGAGATTATTAAAGTTGGCAAAGCTGTATCAGGTTGTTTTTTCTTGATTAGGGCAATAATTGAGTTGATAATCGTTCCAAGAGAAAGTAAAATAAAAAGATTTCCTATTATAAGAGTTGATCTCCTTTCCTTCTTTAGGTTTGCTTCTTTAGAATTGATAAAATCTTCTTCATCAGATTTTATTTCGGTTTTAAATCTCCATAGAATCAAACTTGCTGAAATTACTTCGATGAAGGTGTTAATACCAAAAAACATAAGACTAAGGGAACCACCTTCTGCTCCAAAATATATGGATATTACACCTTCGGCAAGATTCCAAAGAATTGTAAATATGGAAATCATAATGGCATATTTGATAAGTCGTGAACGAGGAACCATTATTTTGAAGTTATTTTCAAACGAGAAAATTTAAAATAATTATGTGTTCATTTTGTACGGCTGATTTACAAGAAACTATATTTAAATGCAATTTAATAATGCGTCATTCAAGATATTTTAACTATACTTGTCAAAAGCCTTTAATTGCGTTTATGTAATAGTTATGTCAATTGCGCCAATGGCGTCAGTTACCCCTTTAACGTATTACTTTTTAGAAATAAAGTATTACACTAATGTTATACAATAAATATTTTAGCATGTGCCAAGTTATGTCAATTATCGCTGATCGTAGCAAAAAAATCAAATCACAAGATTAAATGTAACATAAAAATTCGAAAAAAATAGGGAAAACAAAAAGAACCATAAATAACCCAAGATTTTACTATTCCAACCACGGTTTGGCTTCTAAATAAAAATATTCAGCACGAATCTTAACTATTTAAGTGTATTTATCAAGTGAATAAAAGTCTGTTAATATTTACGCTCCTTATATTTAGTGATCGACATAACTGGACTGGCACAGATTTCAGACATGCTTTAAAATCTGGGATAAATATTAAACTATTAAAACTCTAAATCATTTCACAACTCTCAGTAACAAAATAACTCATTTATGTAGTTCTTTGAATCAAAGTTATTGATTTATTTAATTTATTTTTATATTTATATAATTTAGTCATAAAGTCAATTCCAATTTTTAACAACAATTTCACTCCTCTTCCTAAACTTTATCTTTGATTTTGTAATTACCAACATTGTAGGCATCTTTTTATTTGATTCTCATGAAGAGAATGTATTTTCAATGTGAAATAAATGAAATACACTCAAAAATAAAATAAAAAATAGTAAATAATAAATATTAAATAAAATTCCAAATGCCTTGTGCTATAAACTATTCAATATCTCTTTTCATGATCAATTTGCTTACCATTATTCTAAAAATTAAATTAAGATTTCAATAAAAATATAATTCTTTTTATATTTTATTTAATTATTTCTTTTTTTAATGAAAATTTATAAAAAATAATAAATTGGGTTGATAATTTAACACTTACATCCATCTTCATGATCCTCGTAATTATCATAAATATAAATGTTTGTAGAAATAAATAAATAATTTTTTGATGATTAAATATAAATTTAATAAATTAAATTATTTCAAAAAAAAAAAAACTTTGATTCTTTTAATAAATAATTCAAAAAAAAAAATAATAATAAAAAATAATAAAATAAAACTATTATCATGACTTGATATAATTTTAATTTAATTAATTAATCATTAATTTGCTTTATAAAAATTATCTTTGAACATTCAATAATGAGATCTCATCAATAAATTTTTTGAAATTTTATAATATGCTTTATTTTTTATTACCTCATCACCATCGCTATAATCAAATTCAATTTAATTCTCAAGCCAGGTATGTAAATAATTTCTAAAGTTAGATATCTTTGAATTGCAAAGAGAATTTGCTTCATATGCACACCACTCTAGAAATGAAAAAATTAAGATCCACGCAATTTTAAATAATAATATTTTTAATATTTTATAGTGATTATCGAAAATAATAGCTAAAAATAAATAAAAATAATTATTTAAATAAAATAATCGCTTATATTTATTTTATAAGCGATAAAAAATATCATTTTTATTATTTTTATTTATTTTTATTTATTTTTAGAGTATTGTCGAAAATAATTTTCGATAATCGCTAATAAAAATAAATAAATAATAATAATTTTAATAAAATAATCGATTATATCTATTCTTATAAGCGATAAAAAATTATTTTTATTTATTTTATAGCACTTATCGAAAATAATTTTCGATAATAATAATTATTATTGAAATAAATAAAAATAATTTATTTTCTATAAGCGATAGTAAAAAAAAATATTTATTTTTACTATTTTTATTATTTTTATTATTTTTTGACTATTTTATTCCTTTTTATAAGCCTATTCTTTGGGTGGGTACTCGAAATCGATTACTATTCTTGACCTTTTTTTTTTCCATTTCGGTCACGAAAATTTCCCCAAAACGAGTATTGTTAAAACAAAATAAGGATTATCTGAGAAATTTTCATATCTTTTTAGGATAAGTTGCAGTATAAATTTTCTTTTTAGGAGAAGTCGCAGTATAAAATTCCTTTTTTATGTTTGTTTTTATGCGCCCACAGTAAATTATATACAGTATATATATACCCTTGCATGAAGCATAATATGAAAATTGCGCATGTTTGAAAGTACTATATGGAAATTGCGCAACATTTAAAAGTATATGATGCAGAAATTTTGTGGTTAATATGTCATATGATTTAAATGCTTGTCAAAAAATTTATATGAATCCAAAAATTTTTGAACAAACTCAAATTTTTAAGTTATCTTTTTTTTTGCTCAAAATTTTAACTTATTTAAGATTACATTTTATTTAATATAATTGTTAATTTTGAAATTTGTAATTCTATTTAAGATAAGAATTATTTACCACTGAAAATTTTAGGTTTAATGTAAAAAATACCTTTGTTTAAATATCAACTACACAATATATTATTATTAATTATGGTAAAAAAAAATATTTTAAATTGTAGAGATGATCTAGAGCTATGAAATAATGTATTTATTTTTTTAATTCTATATTTGGATGCAAAGTTTAGTAGTTTTTTTTTCAATTATTTAGGAATTTCTATACGCTTAAATATTTCAATAAAAACAATTCGATGATTTTCTTTACTTCTTTTCATCCGTTTATCACTCACCACCACAGGTATTTCCAATAATTTTATCCGTTTCATCGCCACAGCAACTGCGGCCATGAAAGATTTTTCAAAAAGTTTGTGGAGCGAACCAATTCACCAAAAATTAAAAAGTTTCTTGGATTCATTTGTATGAGGAGGTTCTGCAACCAAAATTGATCTTACTTGTCTGGTAAGATGCGACTCGTTGGGTTATTGAAAATTTTTTGCTCATGAAAAATTTGAAGGTATTAAAGAAATAGCAAAGGTAGTTTTGGTACTATTTATTATGCTAAGTGGATCGATGGATGAATTGTTAAATGTGATATTAAAAATCAATGATGGGAAAGAAATGGTAATGGGGAGTGGTACTAAAAAGTTTGATGGTATTGGAGAAATAAATGAAGACTTTTTAAATGAGGTAAAATATTATTCGAATTTAATATGAAACTTTATTTAAAAATGAATAATAATTAAAAAATGTAATTATTTAGATGTCCATCCACTTGAGAACGCACGATACATCTACACCATCCTTTTCTGGAATTACAAAAGATACAGAAACTCAAGTAGAAGGTGGAAATCTTAGAAATTATCTAAATAATAATATTAGTTGTGAAGATAAATTAAAGTATTTAAGAGAATTAGCGAGAGATTTTACACATTCTTGAATTAAATATAGTACATCACGATTTCCACCCTGGAAATATTTTAGCTTTGATTTTACTGATTATTTATATATTTCAGATTTCGGGTTAAGTAAATTAATTGGGAAAAACATAGAAATCTCTAAAAGAGAAATGTTTTTGGACTATTGCAATATAAAGCTCCTGAAGTATTAGGAGGGGAAGAATATGCAAAAGCGGCTGATGTTTATTCATTTGCAATTATTGCTTATGAAATAGTCACTGGTTTACACCATATCCTGATGTGACGCATGATAATGATCTAGCTTTTAATATATGTAATGGATTAAGACCATTTCATACTCCCAATTTAATTACACAGATGATCATGAGATGTTGGGATGCTCGAATTATCTGTCGACCCACTTTTGAGGAATTATATAAAGAGTTGGATAAATACTATTATGATTATCGGATTAATAATTACGAAAATGACAATTAAATTACAATTCAAATTAAAGAAGCTGAAAAATTTTCTAAAAATCAAATAAAAACTGATACCACAACCACAACTCACTTAATTATAAAACACACTCACAGGCAATTTATACCAGTAGGCTTTTAAATTTTTCAAATCTTTTAAAACCTATAAATGAACCAAATTTTGAAAAAGAACTTAAAGAACTAACAGAATCTTTTTCTCGCATAATTACTAGTAAGTATCGAATATATATTTTATTTCATTCATTTTTTATTTAATGATTGATTATATTAATTTATTTTATTTAGATGAATGATATTGAAGATTTTTAAATATAATAAATAACATTATATAATTTAGTTTGGAGTCAAGAGATAATTTATATTTTATAAGTCTTCACATTAAGTATAGAGTATATTTTGTATGAATTAACTTAATTTTATGTTTTAATTATCTAATAATAGATATTTAAGTATGAATCTTTTCAGAAGGCCATTTATTATAATTTTAATGACTTTTTAAATTTTATTTAATAAATCAAGTTCAATCTCACTTTTAAAATAATAATCACTGGATTGATTTTTTTTTATTTATCTTTTTATTCCGATTTGAAGTTTTTATTAGAAATTATATAAATCAAAAATAAATATTTTTTCAGTAAATTAAAATTCAAGAATTATATTTATTATATAATCAATTATCAAATAAATAAAATATCTTATTCATTGAAAGAATAATAATTTGGTTTTATTATTATTGTTGTTGTTGTTTATATTATTATAATTATCATTATTATATCTTCGATTCAATATTTTAATTTTGGAAGATTTGAAAAATTGAGAAGTCTAGTAGTATGAATTGTGTGATGTGTTTTATAATTAAGTTGAGTTGTAATTGTTGTTTCAGTTTCATGATTTCTAGACAATTCTTCAACTTCTTTCATTTGAATTCTAATTTCATGATCATTTATATGCAACTCTTCACGTAATTCTCTAAAAGTGGGTGATGGGTAACTCGAGCATCTAACATTGCTTAATCATTTGTGTAATTAATTTAGGAGTGTGAAATGGAATGGCCATTTATATTCTTTATTTTCACGTATACCCCAGAAGCTCCATAGGGTAATACTTTAAAAACATTTCCCTTTTTTGTATTTTT